AAAAAAAAATAAATAAAAAAAAAAATAATAATAATAATGGAAATTGATTCACAGTAAACTAATTAGAGATTAATTTTTTAATATTTAAATGATATTTATGAGAAACAAATAGTTTAGTTAGTAGTAATTAATAAGATTTTAATGATTAAATGATGGAGTATTAGTCAAAAACAGAATCTGGAAAGATAAAGATTATGACGATAAGTGTTTTTAGAAGTAAAGAAAAAAGGGAAAGTATGTTTTGTGAGATAATTTTGGTTGTTGGTAGCTTCTGTATATGTTTTGGATATGTGTTGAGTACGAGCTTCTGTGATATTTGAACTGGTCTTCTTGATAACTGACTTGAGTGTTGGGTGTTTTTTAAAGTTTGCAGTGTAATCCTTGGTGCATAGATCACATTTTACGAGAGACTGTTTTGGGCTTTGGTGTAACCCTTACAAAGAATAGTGGAGGGTACATTTATTTTTGCTATTAGCGATGTATACTTATAAATGCCAGAACTATACTGATGATGAAGGTTTCTTATGATGATCCTTTATGTGTAAAGATGACAAGGGGTATATTATGAATGGAAATTAACTTTATTTTATATAAGTGATCCATAATTTTCTTGTAATTAAGATTTAAGGTTGTTCAAAGGTATTATGAGAAAGATTTATTATTTAGTCCGTTGAGATGTGATAAGATAATGTTGAATGCGTAGAAGTTTGTTATATTTTATACAATATATAGATGGGGCGAGAAGCTCTATGTTATAATCAGTGTTAAATAGGTCATTGAGATTCCCTTGGAAGTGGTTAAGAAAGTTACTCTGTCTCTAATATTATTGGAGGCAAAATCACTGCATTTATTCTGTAATTTAATGGTTGTCAGAGATAAAAATTAGTTTTTGTCATTTTTACTGGGCAAAGTTTATGATGTTAACCGATTTTTGTTTTTTGTGGCATTATGTGTAGTACATACTTCATAGTGAACAAGACCAATTTTTCTGGACATTGTTATTCATAATTATGTTATTAATTAGAACAGATTTATACATAAATAATAATAAGTAACAATGTGTGTTCATGTTGAACATTAAGGTCGAACTGAATAAATTAATCATGTAATATATGTTAATGTTTGTACTTAATTAAAATATTAATAAATTGTTTTTGTTTAGTAATAATTTAAAATTTAGTTAAATTATGTGTATGAATTTTAACAAATAGATACTTTTATAGTTTATTATATTATTTTAGGTGTACAAAATTTCAAACGAATACTTTTAACATTAGTACCAGAAGAACCATCAATTTCCCATGACATTTGTGAAGAACTTATAGTTTGGGCTTTATCAGTTTATCGTCAAAATGCTAACGATGCAATAAAAGCTCAATGCGTATTATACTGGTTACTTTGTAAGTAATAAACTATACTTTAGGTTTACATTATATGCATTTTAATTATAGATCATTAAGTGTTTTTGATTTACCCTAATTCTGAACATAATATATTGATTTTGTGCCATAAATTATTGATATTTGATATTTTTAAATTTTTCTGTACTAAAATAATTGTTATTTCATTACACAATTTTATAGACGTGGTTGAAGAAAAATTAACTAATATGGATATAATTGATAGTTATTATAAAGTCTTATTTCATCTTTGTAACTATCAAAATTTAGTAAGTACATATATACGATATTATTACTGTTAAAACATGTAATGAGGTTTATTTGATTATAATTTTATTGTACTAGAATCAACCTGTAGCTGGTATTATTTATTGGTTGACAAAATCTGATGATGTTCAAAAGTGGATGATTACATGCTGTAAGAATATTATAGAAGGTTTTAAATCTGAACCTTATCTGAACAAATTACTAACGTAATAATAAATAGTTAAAAATCAATGGTATTTAACCTATTCAGTAAATCTTTTTTTTTCATTTTTAGTTTCTTTGAAAGTCCTAATTTAATGAACAATACACGGCAAAAAGGACTTTTTGATTGTAACAATACATTTTGTAAAGAACTGGCTTGTGGTTTACGTAGTGTACGAAAAGAATTAATGAATATTCATCCTCAGTCTACACACTCTCAGCAACTCATAGAATATGTATATTTCTAAAACATATTTTAATTTGAATACAAATTTAAACTATTTGTATTATTTATTTTATTTTAGGAAAGAAAGTCTTCTGGTAAATTATATAGTAAAATTCAGTTTGTGGACATAAATAACAAATTTGAATTTCCAAGGTAAAAAGCCCTAATAATTTATACTTTATTTATTAAAATATTATACTTTTMTTGAATTGTGTGTAGAATTAGTTAACTTATATTTTTTTTATGTATTTTATTAACTTTAAATTTAAATTAAAATAACTTGTATATTTACAGTACGGAAGAATTAGCAAAATCATTCATAAAAGAATGTTCTTCTAATAACAGCTTGACACTTTTGGGTAGCGTGAGTGGTTGGTGTAAATTACTTATGAACAATGACAAAGAATTGAATTTACAACACAGATTTTCAAATAATTTATACCATAGTCTAGATCAAAGTAATTACAATATTTATTTATTTAACTTAATAAATATTAATTTTCAAACATTTTATAGTTTTTTTAACTAATGAAGTTATTGTAAAATCTTCACAAAAATCAAAATTCTTACATGAAATTTTGGAATTTCAAAAATTTGCACACAGAGGTTTAGCAGCAGTAAATATTTTTATATTCCAATACATAATCTCTTGGGATGGAATAGAAAATAGTCGTGTAATGTATGAACTTTTCGAATTCTTAACATTCACTTCAGAAGAAGGTTGTATTGCTAAAATATAATTTTAAATTTTATACTTATTGGTTTTGTTTTTATGTTTAGAATTAAAAAATAGGTTTTTAGAAAAATTGTATGCAATATTTATTACTGGAGATGAATTAATTTATAGAATGGTAATTAATTCCTTGACTAATCTTCTTTGTAATTTGGTAAGTTGAATAGTAATTTTATTTGTTAAAATTTAGTTATTTATWTTTATGATCATAATTAATACTATTAATAGTTATTTATTTGTTTAGTTTTCAAGGGGACTAGCCCTTTCACAACATTTAGCGTTGTTTTATTAGGTTTTGAATGAATTAATTTGATCATATATTTTTAATTAGAAAGTAAATGATATAATTATCAATACATAATTTTTATAAATTGCCTATATTTTACCCTATACATATAATATTTTGTGTTATATCAAATTTTGTTTTTTCAAAAGTTATATGGTCTTATATATTAAAACTTATTTATTAAGTTTATTTGCATAATTTTATACTCAAAAACATTCATATCATACTTTCAGCAACTTGAGGGATTGAAGATCGTCTGTTGTTTATTTTCTTCTCAAATTAATAATATTATTTGTTTTTGCATATTGAATAATTGAATTTATTTATGTTTATATAGTATTTTAATTCAAAACAAACCAGAACAAATAAAAACTGTACATTATTTGGTGAAGAATTAAGAGAAGAAACAGAATTTGAAGTAGTTAAATGTTTGACTAAATATATATCACATTGGTGTTCAATATGTATTTATCATTATCCTCAAGAAGAACAGTTAAAAAATACAGTTTATACATTTTTTGAAAAAGTAAGCTTTTTGTAAACAAAAAATATAGTGTATTTTATGTGGTTGAATTAAATTGCTAACTAGAATATTTTTAGGTATCTGTTTTAGAAAATTTGGAACCAACCATATGGCCTATTTGGACAATTATGCCTCCAAGTGTTTTCTATAATGGTTTAATGTCAGTAAATATATACTGGTTAGATAGATTGTCCAAACTAATGCTGAGGTATGCAAAGTACAACTTGTTTAATGGCTTAGTTATTAAGTATATTACAATATTTCAAGATGCCAATGAGAAATAATTTATTTAAACAATTCTATACTTAATATTGTGTATCATTATATGCAGGCCGGTGGAAGGGGGGGAGGCAAACTGGACACCCACCTAGAGCCTCGTGCTTTATGGGGCCTTCCATTTTTAATTTTTATATTGTGAGCGGATAGGTATACTGATAAGCAAAAAAATAAAAAATTGGTAACATCAACAACAAAGATCATATAATGTGTAAAATCTTTTTTCAGGCCCCTCAGGAATATTTTGCCTTGGGCCTTACAAAACCTAGCACCAGCCCTGATTATATGCGATATTGACAAACATATTAATTAAAAATTAATTCTCATCTTACTATGATATTGTATAAATTATGATACCATAAAGTTGATAATTGTTATTAAATTGAAAAATTAATATAATATTATTTTATAAAAATAAATTTAAAACAATTTAGGCACATAAAGGTTGACACTAGCAGAATTGAGGATATAGCTGAGTCTCCATCAATTTTTAGAACGTTACAATTGTTTGATATGTACATGGCAGATTTTTATAATGCACTCCACACAGGAGTGGTAAGCATAATATATAAATATTATTAAAGCAAGTTGATAATATTTTACTAAATTTATTTTTCCTAGTTGTTTGATAAACGTGAAGAAGGATTTATTTTTAAACATTTAAATGAAGAAGAAGTTGAAAAAGATTTTAAAATAGTGAATTTAAATGTATGCTTTCAAATGGAAAAACATATTGCTCTAGCTCCATATTATATGAATGCTGAACATACAGTGGAGGTAATTTTGTCATTAATTATACCAATATGTTATTATCCCTTATTTGATTTTATAGTAGTATTTAGTATGATTGTTTTTTTATCATCATTTAATGAATACAATTTTTTTAAATTTTAGGATCCATTGGAAGATTTACTTCGGACAGAAGCTCCAAATTTACATATGTTAATTTTTATGTTAAATCAAAATTTGCACGATGATAGTGAAAATGACATTACACAATGTTAGCTTATTAATATTGTGAACAACAAATTTTTTAAGCAATATTGGTTGTCAGCATTGTATTTTAATTATTTTTTCATAACGATCATTCACAAAAATTTAAACTATTGTTATGAATTATATATGATAATATTTATTTAATTTTTTATAATATATTTGACTTCTTATTTAATGAGATATTTGTTTAAATTAGAAATGTGATTTTTTTTTTACTAAGCCAAAAATTAAATAGAGCTGATAACTTTAATCTTATTTTATTATATTGCATACTTCATATTATTTTTTGTAAACACTACATGTATTAATATTATTAGTGTTTCTTTTTCTATAATTAAAAATACAAATTGTTTTTATCATAAATTCTTTAATTTTTTATATTTTTTATCTTTATTTAATAGTTTTTATACCATACATAATTAATAATTTATAAATGTATAACTGCATGAAACTTGATAATTAGTCGTTGGTTTGTTAACTTGAATTACTTTAAGAAAGAGAATATTGATTTACTTAATTTTTTTTTAAATAAAAATTATTTTTTGAAAAAYGTACAGGACTTCTTATTGTTATTTATGAGTTTATGACTAATGAATTGTCATCTCTAGTAAATGTCCGATTTTCTACAGTCAAAATCATTAAATTTGCTTTTATAATCTCTAGAACAATATTGTAGGTGGAAGGTTAGGTTAGACCTACAACAGTGGTTGATGGATTTTTAAAAATAAACTTGTATACATTATATTATGTATTTTATTTCATAATAATTTCAAACAACAATGCACCCTAGTTTTATTTTTTACAATGTCATATAAATTTAACCTAATACATTAATTCCTCTTTACATTTTCTTAATTATGAGCATAACTTATTTATTAGTTCCTTGCATTTTTTTTCAATAAGAATTTTCTGCCGCTAACAATTGCCAATTATTCAATTAAGTATTTAACTAATAAATAATAACTAGTGGCCAAGTTATGTGGACTATGGGGGAAGGGCTTTAAAAACCTGATCTAGAAAGTCAAAAATGTCTTCCCCTTCCCTCTCACAATTTGTTGGATAAGTACCTACCAATTGCTAAGTAGATATGTAAAAGGTTTAAAGATTAGCCTACCTATAAAGCTTATTTTTAATTATATAGAATATATCCAAGCTGTAGAAGACATGTTTTTATTAGCAACTCACACCTCGCCAAATTATAATGATGTTTGATACCTTCCAATATAAATAACGCTAATCATTAACAGTGGGACACTAATTTATCCGCAGTAACCTCAATTTGATTCTTGATTAATATAATAGGTACATCCAGTATTTACAGTGTATCATACATGTAAAATAATTTCATATTCTAGGTACTTATCTGAACTAAAAAAAAAATTAATACTTACCTACCTTAATTTTAAATTCTGAACGAAGTGATGTGTGTTTTTTTTTTGTTTGTTTGTTTTTGT